CCTGTGTGTGTGTGTGTGTGTGTGTGTGTGTGTGTGTGTGTGTGTGTGTGTGTGTGTGTGTGTGTGTGTGTGTGTGTGTGTGTGTCCTATTCATTTAATTGAACACACACATGCTTCCTTTCCTACATGACATTTTATCCGGTGGCGTTCCAACTCTTTTGATCAGGTGTGTGTGTGCATCCTTTAGTCGGATGTAGTTTCCGAACTTATTATTTTTTTTAAATTATATATATTTTTACATACAAGTACATTTTGGGATACTTATACTTTGATTTACAATATTACTGTATTTCACGGGAAAATATTGCTGTTTTTATGTCTCTATTTTTATTGTATTTGTATAATTTACACGTTATTAGTTAGTTTTAGTATTTTATTAGTTTGTATGTGGGCAGCAGGAGGCACTTTTCTTGCAAACACAAAGCCTCTAAACACAGCTGATACCTTCAAGTGATCAAGGCTTCGTGCGTATTTCCTGTGTGTGTTTGGGGCAGCAGAAGTCACCCGAATCCAACATGTGTGTCGCTGCATATGGTGTCAATCTTACAAAAGCTCTTACAGTAAATCTGAAGTACTGTGTGTGTGTGTGTGTGCAGTGGGTGCTTCATTATGGTAAATGACGCACATAATAAGCAATGTAGTTTAACCTGAGGCTAACACGGCCTGCACTTTCATGTTGACCTCAACGCTATGAAACGCTAATGTATGTTAGCAGTAAAGACAGACAGACTTTGATGATGACGATGGTGTGTGTGTGTGTCTGTGCAGAACTTTACAGGTGCTGAGGAAGACGCTGAAGCACTCGTTCTCCGGCTGCACCGTCATCCTGTCCGAACACAGAGTGGAGCCGCTGCTCGAGTGTCAAACATTCCTGGTGAGTTTTTGAATAAATGTCAGATTTTCTGCACATCTTTTACTTTTTCTATCAAAATAAGTTGCATGTTGCAACCACTCATTTTAAGATAAACATGGATTTATTTCACAAAGACATAATATTAACCCTGGGACCCTCTTTTAAATTACCTTTGGCTAATATGTTTGGGAAAACAATTCAAACTTTGAAGGCCTTTTTTTGTCTAAACTGTGTAACAGTCATTGTAATTTGATGGAAACACACACACACACACACACACACACACACACACACACACACACACACACACACACACACACACACACACACATACCATGTATACATCCCTTCAGGGGACATTACATTGACTTACATGTATTTCCTGGAGACTTATCCTTAACCTAACCAAGTCTTCACCCTAAAATTAATGATTTCCCTTATGGGGACCTCCATAAGGGAGGCGAGTCCCCACACTATGTAAACAGATGTAGGTCCCCACAAGGATAGTAATGCTAGGCCACACACACACACACACACACACACACACACACACACACACACACACACACACACACACGCGCGCGCACACACACACACACACACACTGTGGTTGTAGAGTGGACATATTGTAGCTTTGTTCAGAACAAAACATCCCTACAAAGGGAAAGTCATTGGTAACATTAAAGGGCACCTATCATGCAAAATGCACTTTTGTACTTCTTTTATACATGAATATGTGTCCCCGGTGTTCCAGGGAACTCACCAAGTGTCAGAAAATACAACCCTCTCTCTTTTCC